TAAGTGGAGAGAAAATGTTTTGAGAATGATGTACAAATGCGCTTTACACAATTGATGTGTATATGGATTGCGATAACAGTTGTATGAGCCCCTAATAAAATGTTTAAAAAATAAATAAATAAATAAATTTTTAAATGCTCAAAATATCAGAAAGGAAAAAAAAAAAAGGGGGTGGCAGCACTAGGAAGGAGGAGAACCGCTAGTGTGCGCTCGTCAGCCCCAGCACCTGCTGGCGGCGTTCCATGTTTGGGAAGGCCCAGGACACTGCAGGCGAAGACTCGGGTGAAGCAGTGCTGTGGTGTGGGTCCTGTCTACTGGGAGCAGCCTAGCAACTCACGGGCATTACTCATGGCATTGGGTCTGCATGTGTTATTCCTACTGTGCAGAAATCCGTGGTGGGAAGGCAGCACACAAATGCAGTGTGTTCTCTTTCCTGTTCTTTCCTAAAGGAGCCCTGGTGGCAGGGCTGTTAAGCACTCAGGTACTAACTTTAAAGGGTTGTGGTCAGAACCTTTCAGCCATTCTTCAGTGGAAGAAAAGGCCTGGTCCTCTGCTCCCTTACAAAGTACAGCCTAGGAAACACTGGGGACATTTCTGCTCTGTCCTATTGGGTCGCTATGAGTTGGAATCGATGCAATGGCCCCAGAAACATCACCATTTTCCCCTCAGTGAATTGAAGAATATTGAAGCAAGTGGCCTGCCGTGCACATGGGGAGCAGGGTTGTAAAAGATGAGGGGACAGAATCCAAAAACATCAGCATCAGATAAACTTGAAATCCCCAAAGGAATGTCTCTTAATCAGTGGCCTATTAGAATAATTGATCATCCACGATAGAAAGGGCAGCATCTGTTCTAGGACAGCAGGCTGGGAAAGAGGCATGCATACAGGAGTGCAAGAAGGAGCTGACATAACCGTGGTGCAAGGAGAAGACTGAAACGGATATGTTGACACAAAACATACATACGTCGTTGAATGTAAAACTGATGGTCTTAGAGCTCTGTAAACCTTCACACAAATCAAAGTAGGACAAGGAAACAGAAGAGGTGAGCAGATTTTTAACGTCATTTCCCAGGACTGTTGGATACAGAGCACCCAAATGTGGGGCTGCTTTTCTATTTTTCTGCAAAGCACAACATTTTACAAAAAAGAGAAACTTCAAAGGGTCTTTTTCGCACATAAATTTCAGGGCCTCATTCAAGATCCACATTCATCTTCCTTATCCAATTACAGGATCAAAGCAGAAGTTTTTGACCTACTTTGGAGGTTTAAAGACATGGAGGGAAAAAACGAAGAACGCTTAAAACGACCTTTTTAATGCCACATGGCTTCCCAGAGGAGAATTCAATCCTGCTGCCCTGCTCTTGTAGCTAGTCTCTGGATACAGACTCAAGGCAGAGTGATAACATGCTCTGATCACTGGAACCATAACAGATGCCCTCACATCTCTGAACAATCCAATCTAATCCCCATTTGCTGTGCCGAGTACACTTTTGTTCTTAATCCTGCTTCAGCTTCCCTTCGAGAATCCATTGCCAAACTGTTGATTTTTGTCTGATCAATTTAAAGACTTCACCTTTTAAAATGAAAACTATAGCACAAAGCAAAACAAAAGCAGAAATGCTGCTTTTATGAATCTTCTCAAAGCTACCGGCTTTAGCACATCTGTTCATTTTTAATGCTACAATATGAAATTCACATTTGCTAAAATAGGACACTCCTTGTCCTTAATATCAACATGCTGGGCTTTGAGGTGCTGGGAAAAGAGGGGAAAAAGCTAATGTGACGTCTTTAGAACTATTTAAGTGAAGAGTTTGCCTATTGGTGGGTTGCTTTTTCTCAATGGCGATAAATCTGTTGACAGCCACTGGAACTGAGGTATAAAGATGGCCTCCGGCAGCTGCTGCCATCTGTCTTGTTGGGAAAATGAGGGCTTTGGTTTTCCCCAGAGGTTAATACCCTGATGCTCTAACACCGGCGGGGCTGTTTCTGAAGGGTTGCCCTGAAGAAGAGGAATGCTTTGTGGTTTATGATAAGATCACAGCCGAATAGTTTGTGCACACTGTGATTTGTATCACCCATTTGTGCACAGGCCATAAAAGTGCACTTTTTATCAGGAACATTTGTGAATATATAACAGCACTGAAGACATATGGCCACTAAATAATTCACAGTTATGTGTCTTCTTGTCAGCTCCCTTATACACCTACCATGTTTTAATGCCTAGTTTGCACAAAACAGTATTCTTTGTGGCCCTTGCCATATAAAAATGTTTACTGACTGACAAGAATATATGGATGGCATGGGATTATGCTGTAAGGAGGGGGACACTTTCTACCTTCTTCAGTTCTCCCATACATACTCAGTTGTCTCTAAGCCATTCCATCCTTACCAAAAAATGATGCTTTTCCCAAACGTGGATACTAAATTCTGACATCAGTTATTACAACTAGAAGATGGAAGCCACTAACTAATATTCACCTTCTTCTCTTTTCAGTTCAATATCCATTTACAGTCCCAAGGAGAATCCAAATACATTTGATGCTGCAGCATTCTTCCAGTCCGTGGGGAATTTCCTAGGAATCTTCGCTGGGTCATTTGCAATGGGATCTGCGTATGCTGTTGTCACAGCATTGATATCCTTTATGTGTTAAGTGCTGGAGACGATGCGGAGTCTAACATTGTAACTGAGGATGAGCACCCTTCAAGCCAGTAAAGGGCAAGGGTGGTTTGAGTGTTCTGCAGAACCTCTGAGCCCATTTTGGTTTTGCGTCATCATTCCTGGAGGCACAGACAGGCACCCGTGGCAAAGAGCCCATCCATTCTCTTGTCTAAGGCTTGTTCTATCACTGTTTGTACTGTTTGATCCTAAGATTTTTTTCTTTGTTTGTTTTTAAGTAGCCATATAGAAAATGAAGAGGTTACAGGGCATCAACATTAACCATATAAACATTGAGGAGGAACTGAGAATCTGAGATCAGAAACATGACAGAAGGGCTAGGCGTTAGTAATAAACCAGGCATGCTCTTCTTTTTTGAAACTGCTCAATTACTAGGTCGCAGGGTAAGCTAAGACCCCAAATCACTATGGTTTTAAACAAGTGCCCAGAGCAACATATGGAAGGGCATCTGAGTGCAATAAGGAAATGACTTGTTTACCACATCTGGGAAATTAAGATGTCTGATTCCTTTTTTTTTAGCGTGGGTGGCATATAAATGTGGTTTCTAGAATTTGAACTAGTGAAGGAAAGAAGAAAGGGCCTGAGGGTTGAAGTGTGTCTGGTGGACCATCCACTCCAAGGAACTCTTGAAGTAAGTTAGATTTGAGGCAGAAAGCTGTCAGATTGGTGTCACTTGTGATAGCTTCATGAAAGGCACAGAAGCACTTCAATACAATAGATCTAGGCCTAAAGACCCTGGAAAAAGGGAGAGAAGGAATGGGGTGTACAGGACTCCAATGGAAGGGCAAAATGTCAGACTCCTAAGGTCAGAAGTCATTTAAGATGCACACCAGCCTGTGTGAACCAAACATTGTAAATAATAAACTCTAAGATCAGAGGATGGAATTGCATTGGAGCTTATATTTTGGTCACCTAGTTTGCAAAAGGCAGTGAAAACCCGAAATCCATTTGCAGAATCCCCATAGGGGTTAAGTCCCCATGGAATTCCCTCAGACTGACAGGGATGTGACTAGCTTTGCCCTCAGGCAGAGTGTACCAGAAGGTGATTTAATGTAGATACCAAACCAAACTTAACTGAACGTCATTGAGTCAATACTGCCTCCTAGCGACCCTGCATAACAGGGTCGAACTGCTCCCTGTGAGTTTCTGAGATTGTGACTCTTCATAGGAGTACCAAGCTGAATTTTTCTTCAGCAGAGTTGCTGGTGTTTTTGACAGGGCTCCTAATGCAGATTGAGTTGGGTTAAATTTTAATATCATCATTCATTTTCTCTTTTGATACATTTTTCATTTGTTTTAGTTTTTATTTCTGCTTTGTTTTGGATTGAAATTTTTCTCTATTTTGTTATTGTTGCTGGGTTTGTTTTATTTTGTGTGATTTTCTTTACATGAAATCCAAGATAGGTAAATCTACAGAGACAGTAACTAAAACAGTAGTTTCTTAGGGACTGTGGACATGTTCTCTGGCAATGCTAGCCCCTGGAAAAAGACATCATGCTTGATGAAATGGAGGGTCAGTGAAAAATCCATATGCGATGGATTGACACTGAGTCTGCAACAGTGGCCTCACACATCACATTGATTGTGAGGATGGCGAGGGACCAAGCAATCTTTCACTCCGTGGTGTATGGGGTCACTATGAGTTGGAGCTGACTCAACAATAGCTAGCAACACCATTTATTGAGAACTTTACTATGTACCAACCAAGGCTCAGATGTTGCAAAAATCCTATGCAACACATAATTATTATCCCAACTTTACAGCTTCAGAAACTCATGGATATAAAGGTTAAGCAATTTGTCTAGTACAAAGCAGGACCAGGATTCCAACCCAAGATTTTTTGCTCCAATTTCTACACTAGAGAGAGGAGCTGAAATAAGAATTGCTATCTCTTGTGAGGAAAAGATATGAACACATAAGTAAACAGATTGATAAGGAAAAAAAATCTGATATCTGGAAGCCTATCATGAGATTGCATCAGTTCTGTAAGAAAGGTGTTTTGATGAAAGATGAGGTCTCAAAGATAGTGGCAGATCAGTCTTGCAGCATGTGATGGCCTTGAACTAACTCTCACAAACACAAGCTTCCCCACAGGTGAAGTGTGCAGATGCATAGAGGCATTAATGGTTCCACAACTTGGGCCAAAATGAGGCAAAGGCTCCCAGAGCTCTGAGTATGGGTTCGGGACTTAACCAATAACTGAATTCCTTCCTAGAGGAAGGTGAAAGAAAAGAGCACCCTATTTTGTTATTCAAACTAGCCATAGGCTTCCCTTTAGAACAATCTAGAACAGGGTATTCAGAGGAACAAACCCCACTAGAAATAAAGCCTTCTCTTCAAATGAAGTGAGAAGATGCTAGAAATAATTATATAAGGTCAGCCCTTTCTAACTGCCAGAAGAATTACTTCTGGAACCTTACTGGTTCTATTTCTAATAAAGATGTTTTACAAAACAAATGAATTGCATCACAATCATAGAAATACTTACACGCCACTTGCTACATAGCAGAGCTTATTTTGATACTACTTAATGCATGTTAATGGCTTTATACACTTATGTGGGTTGCATGATTATCTTCATTTTCAGATAGGAGAACTGAGGGTTAGAATGGTAAAGGGTCTCATCCATGTGGCTACATGAATTAAACCCAAGCTTCCAGAGTTCGCACTCCAATCACTGTGGTATTCCCTTAGTGTTCTGTGCTTTCTAATACTATCGGAAACACTTCTCGTCTACTTCATCTCATCTTTCTCTCTATACGGTGGAAGTAGATGCTCTTTTTATTGCTTAGTTACAGAAAATAAATGAGAGTCTCAACAAGGTTAGCATACTGCTTAGAAGCCCAGTCAATTACTGGCAGAGCCAAGAGTCAGAGCTTCCACACCAGAGGCCTGCTTTTGCTTCCTTGCCCACTGCTCATCGACTCTTAATGTGGAAACTTCATGAGATTTTATTCTGGAAGACATGAAAAGCCACATAACAACATCTCTTTATCTGTCATAGATTTTTGGCCTAATGTGGATACAATTACAATCTAACCTGTTTACATCAATCACATGCTCTTAATTATCTTTCCATAACCCCTCATCATCTTCCTATAACCCATTCTCTTCCTGATTGAGATCACCACCTCCTTGTCTTATTTTCAATTCATAGACTATTGACCAAGTGTCATTGAAGCCAAAATGAATCATTTCCCCCCAACGGGCATCCTGCTTGACCAAAAATAATATGTTTCTCCTTCATCCTACTTCTTCCAAGAGGGCTTTGATATCTTTCCATCACTGAAAGCAAATGTTCCTCCTGATCCTATTTCCATCCTCAAGAAAGGAGACTCTCTAAGGCCTCTGTCCACAGGTCAGATTCCATAGGCAGCAGACGTAGCCTTCTTCACTATTGACACTGACATCATCCCTACCCCAGTTACACTCTTTTTGGCTTTGCTTTCTCATAGTTGTTCCAATTCCTGTGACGAGCACACCAGAAGGATTGAGCACAATTCTAGAAGTTGTGTGCTCACAATTAGCGACTGGATCCCATGAGTAAATGACCCCTTTGTCTGAACACAGATTCGGGGTGCCAAAGGGGTTTTCCATCTCCAGTGAAGCTCGGTATCCAGGCTCCTCAGCGAGTTGGGACGGTCCAGGCAGCCCTGCACATCAAGTCTCTGACTCGAACACTGTCCTTGGGTAGTTTTATCTCAGACCAAACAAGTGCCGTCTACCGTGAAAGCTGTTGTTCCTCTTAACATGCCTTCATTACCTGACCAAGTTTACCAGGCTGTGTGAATTCCCAATGCTGGAGACGGGCCTCTTCTTCCTCCTCTCTTGGAGCGCCTTCCTGTCTGCCGAGGCCGCCAGCCTAACAGGTCAGTGCTTCGTTTTGTGCTACAAACTGGGTGTATGAATACATATATGTGTGTCCATGTGTACCCCTCCCTGACCAGTGGGGGCTGAAATGAAAGTTTCTATTAAAGAGATTTGTGTCAGAATCAGCCTCTCCTGGATACCCTGGGAGGGAAAAATAATAATTCATCATTTTATATAACAGTGCTTCACAGAAAGTCTCCAAAATGCCATTTCCCCATCTTGCTGGTCAAGAGAGGCTCTTGAAATCTACACATGGCTTATATAGAAAGATGATGGTTGACTTTATAAAGGAAAGCCGCCACTCAGAGTATAAAGGCACATACACACCGGCTTTGTAAAGGAAGGTCGTGCCTTTCCATTTGCTGATAGAAACAAGTACCAGTATAAACAGCCTCTCGAGTTTGTGCACAATCCCACATCAGGACGTTTTGCAAAACTCCAGAAGGTCAGAGAGTAAACAGTCAATGGCTTCTTTACAATTGAATATCTTTTCATGCAAGCGGTCTCTATGAAAACCCAGTGCTAAAAACAGGTCCAGTTCCTAAGGCCCCAGGGACCACTGATCCCATGATCTGGATTCGGCAATCCCGAGTTCCTTTCTGCTCACTGAATCTTCAGAAGCCACTCTGAAGTGTTACCGGAGAGCAACGCATGCTTCCCTGAATCCCTCTGTTTGTATTAATGGGACATACTCAAGGTCTATGTAACCATAAAAGTTGATATATACTAAATGTATACCTTTTAACTACCTACTGTGGGGATTATCTCATTAATTTACAGGTAGATTCAAAGTTTACTTCGTTTACTCAATCAACCTGGGATATTAGGTTTGCCCACAACATTTGAATGAACTTTAGCGCCTTTGGAGCCTACCTGGACTATTTGTCCCTAGGCTGGTTCATCCCTACTACGAATGCTGTGGGAAATCTCTTTGTAACGATCACTTGTAGCTCTAGGCAGCTGACTCCACTCACTGCAGATCAGCAAGGGCCAAACCATGCCTACAAACAGACTTTGAGGGCTGATACCCCATCTTTGGGTGGTAAACATGTGCCAGGTTACCAGCCAAAAGGTTGGGAGTTTGAGTCTATCCTGAGGTACTGCAAAAGAAAGGGATGGCAGTCTACTCCCCCAAAAATGAGTCATTGAAAAACCTGTAGAACACATTTCCCCTCATGCCATGAGGCCAAGTCAACGTGACAGCAAGTGGCTTTTTGGTTGCTGATGCAGAAAGTCACCTTCTCCGTTCTCTTTACACCACAATCAAGACTAAACAAACAAGCAGTCCCATTGAGTCAGTTCTGAAACATATCCGCCCAATAGGACAACGGAAAATTGCTCTTGTGCGTTTCTGAGCCGGTGAAACTTGACAGGAAACAGCCTCATCTTTCCCTGCATCGTATATTCCCAGATCTCACCCTCCTCAGCCATTGGATCCAAACCAGCCCTGCAGGAAGTATGTACTCTTTAGTGATCACTACAGTATTAAGAAGGTTGCTGAAGAGCTTAGGCATGCCGGAGGGGGGTGAGGGGAAGAGGAACACTTTTGTCCCTTAAATGAAATAATAGAGGTAAGCCATTTACGTCACAGTCACTTTTAAAGCCTTTTCCCCCTTTCCTCCATATTTTGTGCCCTATTCAGCATTTAATATATTCTAACTTGATCTAAGTAAGTTAACCATAAGAATAAATATTTGACTTTCCAGAACAGTAAAAGGAGCCCTGGGGGCATAGTGATTAAGCAATGATCTGATAACCAAAACGTCAGCACTTCAAAACCACCATCTGAGGCTTTCTCCTTCCCCAGAGGGTTACAGTCTCAGAAACTCTCCAGGACAATTCTATCCTGTCCTAGAGGGTTGCTATGAGTCAGAATGGACACTGATTTTTTTTTGTTTACTCATGAACAGTGTAACACACGTGATATTGTGTAAGAATTATTCATTTCTTTGTGTGAAATTGTCTTAATTTCTTGGTTCATTTCAGCAAGATTTTGTTTCATTAGCTATTTAAAAGGCTATGATCTATGGGAAGCTGATTAGATTGCTAGTTTATCTGAACCATGTTTTCTTACTAGTCTTTTCAACCTGATGTCTTGATTGGGTGCCATGCACAACACCTCTGAGCAGCAAGCAATGTGGTTTGGGTGAATGCAGGTGTGGATCCAGTATCAGAAAACCCAGATGCCCACTGCTGCCACAAGGACCAGAGAGGCCCCTGAGCAGTACTGCAGATTTAGACAGCAGGGCTAGTAGGCAATTGATGCAAACCAAAGTCTAGGTGGGCATGTTATCAATTGCCAAAGATCAAGCCAGCTTAGTCTATATTACTCTTGTTTGTGTTTGTTTATTTATTATTTCACCTTTACCTATGTCCAAATGAGACTAGTGACATCTCATAAAATGAGTCTCATATGTCTTGGGACCATATTGTTGAGGGTAGAGATTTTCTGCAAAATTAGGCAGCTGTTTTCTACTGTGGTTTGGCAGTAGATATAGCTATGAGCTTTCTGACAGCCAAAGCCAAAAGAAATATAATGCATTGTGTAGGAATTATACAGCATAATAAAAGAAAGCTCTGTTTATTTATAAAAATTGGCACACTTTAAAAAATGATTCTACAATTTTAAAGGAATTTACCCCATTCATCCTTTGAATACCACAACAGGCAATCTGTTTCAATGATAGTTTGAGGGAAGATGGAGAGACATTTCTTGCCTGCCGAAGACCATCAGTAAGTGAGCAGCAGTTAACATGGAACCAAGTGTCCTTCCACTTTCCCAAGTATGACGTCCTTCTTCAGGGACAACATCCAAAGCATTGAAGATGAAATCTTGCCATCCTTGCCTCTAAGAAACACTCTGGCCTTACTTATTCCAACACAGATTTGTTTATCCTTTTAGTAGTCCATGGTACTTCCAATATTCTTCTCCAGCACCACAATTCAAATGTCTCGGTTCTTCATCAGTTTTCCTTTTCGAACGTCCAACAATAACACACATTAAGATGAAATGGAGAAAACCATGGCTTGGGTCAGGTGCCCCTTAGTCATCCTTGCTCTTCAACACTCCAAAGAGGTATTGTGCAGCAGATTTACACCTTGTTGATCTTTTGACTGCTACATCCACGAGCATTGATTGTGATGCCAGCGAGACCAAACCCTTGACAACTTCAACCTTTTCTCCATTTGTCATGATGTGACCTATTGGTCCAGCTGTGAAGATTTTGCTCTTCCTTACATTGAATTGATGTAGTGGTTACATGTTGGGCTACAATTTACATAATTAGCAGTTCGAAACCATTAGCAACTCTGAGGGAGGAAGACTGGGCTTTCTATTCCTGTAAACAGTTACAGTCTCAGAAACCAATAGGGATCGCTATGAGTCATCATTGTCTCAAAGGCAGCAAGTTTGATATTTGTGTTTTTGGCTTTACATCGAGTTGTAATCCAGACGGAAGTCTGCAATCCTTGATCTTCACTAGCAAGTGCTTCAATTCCTCTCACGGTCAGCAAGCAAGGCTGTGTCATCTGCATCTCACAGATGGTTATTGTCTCCTCCAATCCTGATGTGATATTGTTCTTCTTGTACTATGACATTTAGACATAGTAATCCCTCATGGTGACATCTAACATAATGAAATCATCTCCATAATGAGACCTCATGTAAGCAGGCAACCAGGTAAAAGGCAGTTTCTTCTGGTTTGTGGCCTGCAACCAGGTAAAAGGCAGTTTCTTCTGGTTTGTGGCCTGCTTCCTATGTAAATGGTTACTTTGGAAAAGCTTCCTTGCTTTTTGCTGGGTCTGAATTCTGCATCTGGCTTGCCTTTTGACCTCCCCTCTTTTGGACTTGAGCCAGTGGCTTTCCATATACCCTACTGACCTTGGTAGTCATCTACAGTTTTCCATTTTAACTACCAACCTTGGACTAATCAGCTTCTGCAACCAGAAACCTACCGTTTGGCCTACGGATCCTGGATCCCTCAGCCCCTGTAGCTCAGTGAACCAAGAGCAGCCTTCACAACTCACCTGCCTCCTCGTGAGTCTGCATGTACATCTATTAGCTTCACTGGCTTTGCCTCTCTAGAGAACCCTAAGATAAATCCCTTCAGCTTTCTAGCCTTTCAGTATTCTAACCTCATGTCTCAATACATTTCATTACAATGTTTTACTTTGTCTTCTCAACCTGCCTTTTGAAATGCTCTGTTGAACTCCTTTACTCCATTATTTCTTCCATTCAATCTAGCTATGCTTCATTTAAGAGCAAGTACAGTCTCTTCTGACATCCACTTTTGTCTTTTCTTTGTTTCTGATCTTTTTAATGCACTTTTGCTACCTTTATGTATGACGTTTTTGATGCTGTCCCACAACACGTCAGGTCTTTGGTCATTAATGTTTGAATTCATGTGGGATAAACACAAGGCCATGTTTTGGGTCTCATGAACTAGTTTAACTTTCTTCAGCTTCAACTTGAACTTGCATATATGGAATTGATGGTCTGTTCTGTAGTTGGTACCTGGCTTTATTTTGCCTGATGACATTAGTTTTTTCATTGTCTCTTTCCACAGATGAGCCAATTTGGCGTCTGTGTATACAATTTAGTGAGGTCTACATGTATAGTCATGATTTATGTTTAAAAATGGTATGTGCAATGAATAAGTCATTGATGCTGTCAAATTCTATCATGCCATCTTCAGCTTCATTTCTATCACCAGGGATGTATGTTCTAACTATTGAAACTTCCTTTTTGTTTCCAACATTCACAGTCCAGTCATCAGTAATGACCACTGCATCTTCATTGCATGTGTGATCAGTTTCAGACTTAAGAATTTGGTAGAATTCTTCAACTGATTTAAGTGGTTGGTGCCTAAATTTGAATAATAATTTTATTAACTGGAATTCCCTGTAAATATGTAGCTATTTTCCAATCACAAACAGCATTGTATTCAAGCTGCAACTTGAAATATTCTTTTTGATGATAAATATAATGCTATTCCTCTTT